CTGAGTGCTGGGATTAAAGGCGTGTGCCACCATCCCCGATTCTCAATTTCTTCATACAGGATTTTGCTTTGCAGTGGCCACTGCTTCTGGAGCCTGGTAGAAATATAGTCCGTGGGGGAAGTTTGTGTTAAATTCTGGCTCTGCCTCCAAAGCCTTGAGTCGGTTTCTCCTCTGCCTCAGTTTCCTCTTAGGAAGGGGAATGGTTATGACACCTACTTTATATGGTGAGGGGCGCTAACAACGACCAGCTCTGGCACAGAGTCAACACATCACAAACGTCAGTGTCTGTCACTGTCAACCACACAGCATCATGTACTGCTTGGGACACAGGGTTGATGGAGACGTGGTCCCTAACCCTGGGCTTACAGAGTTCTCAGATATGGCGATGCGCACACCCGCAACCCCTACAAGTCAAAAGTAACACCTGCCACATGTGTCACTTTATCCCAACCCTGGAGGGATTTCAAGGCAAAGGAAAAGCAGTTCCTGCCGCCAGGGAAGCCCCTGACTGCACCTCAGATTCTTCTGGGGAGATGTCCCCTTCCTCAGGCTCTGATCTAATTGGCTGAGTTCGAGGAGCAGGGACATCACAGGTTATGGAAGCCACACAGTGCTTTTGTGTGCATCTGGACAAAGAAGCATGGCCTCACAGGACAAGGATGTGTCCTCAGAGATTCCCTCTGACTGTACCAATGTGACTTACCAGGAGACAGCCTGTGTCACGGCTGGCCCTCTCTGGGCTGTCTGGCAATGCCTTCCAGTGAGCGCCTCTCTGGTGTGGTAATCTTCCAACTTGGGTTTGCATACATACCATTCGAAGCACTGCTCAAAATGACAAATTCCTGGTACCCCATCCCAAGAAGCCCTTGTCTGAGACCAACTCCAGGAGCTTAGGCATTGAGAAAGCTTGGAGCAGTGGGCCTTGTGCTTTCTGCTGAGAGCTCATCCCTGGCCACCCGGCCTCCAGACTTTACTTTCCTGTGTTTCAGACCTCAGCATCACCCTTACCATGCTTTGTCTGTGCCCTTTGTGACATGTTTTTTTTCCCACTTATTTATTCATCCAATCATAACTACAACAGGTCATTGAAAAGAAGCCACAAAATCCAAAGGAGTAAGAGACACTCAGAATGCCCGCTGATGTCTCTCTTTCACCAACCTCAGCAGGAAGGACGGGGTCTGTGGCAGGGACAGAGCTTTCTCACAGGCCTGCCGAGTGGGAGAGGGCAGGGAAAACAATGTGCTGATGACAGCCCCGGTGGCTCTCAAAGAAGACTTGGAGTGGACACAGCAAAGGAAAGGCCATTGCTCAACTGCCTGGATTTTCCATCACAGCGGAGGAAGGGTCAGGTGGGGAGCTGCTCCTGAAGCAGGTCCTTGTAAAGCCTCTTGGACAGACTGATTTCCTTTAGGGAGCCAAGAAGCAGTGTTGGGTGCAGTTAACCCCTGCATTCCCAATGAGATTGCTTGAAGATGGGCAGGACCCAGGAGCACACGCTCCTGGAAGGTAGAGCTGCCCAGGGCAAGTGGCCTAAGGAGCCGTGAACTCTGGCTAGAGAACCCTTCCCTCTGGCCTTGTTAAATCCAACAGGCATAATTGCATCCTGCTGACCTTAATTCCCCTGGCGGATTTAATTGGGCCTGGCACTGTCCCACTTCCTGCCTTAGCCCCACAGAGGCAGAGGGCATCTGCGCAGCTGGCACGGGCCGGGGAAAACCCCTTCATGAGTTAGGTGGGCAGGGGTTCTGGCAACTTCTTGCAGGGTTGAGGAGGTTCCCCCTGTGCCCCTCCTCTGCGCCTCCAAGAGAGTGCTGAGAAGCCTAGGGACTCCCTGTGAGCAGCTGACAAGAGCAGGTCATCCCACACATCAGAACCATGCCCGCCTCCCATCCGGGCAGAAGACACTCTTGGTAGAGCCGGCAAAGAAGCTGGGCTCTCTGTCTGCAGCGGTCACCACATTACCAAGTGCCAGGCCCCCTTCTCTGCGCCTAGTGCTTTACATGCACAGGCTGGGCACACATTCTCAGCCACCCTAGGTGCTCACAGGTCTCTGAGCACTTAATCAGCAGAGGAGGAGACCTCTGGGGTGCATGCCATCCTCATAGCTGGTGATTGAGAAATGCATTGTTCTGCTCCTGACCCTGACCCCGAAACCCTACAGGGCTGCTTCAAGACTAAAGCCGTTCGTTCCTGGGGCCGAGGAGACCCACTCCGAATAGAACATTGCCAGAGGCCCCAGAGAGGGTCAGCTGTGAGGCAGAAACAGTCTGTATGTATAGTGCCGGTGTCAAAAGCATGAGGACCTAAGTTCCATCCTGGGCACTCATGTAAAAGCTGGGTGTGGCTGCACTAGAGGGGCAAAATCCTGGGGGCTCTCTGACCAGTCAGCCCTCTGTGACAGACCCTGTCTAGCTTGCTCTCTATTGCTGTGATAAAACACCGTGGTCAAAAGCAACTTGGGGAGGAAAGAGTTTATTTCATTCATTTCAGCTTATTTATTTATTACAGTCCACTATGTAGGGAAAGCAGGGAAGAAACAGCAGGAACCTGGAGGCAGGAACTGAAGCTGAGGCCATGGAGGGGTGCTGGCCACTGTCACAGAGATCCGCCTGCCTCTGCCTCCTGAGTGCTGGAACTACAGGCATGCACAACCATTACCCAGCTTCAGCCTGCTTTCTTATATAACCCAGGACTCCTGTGCTCTCCCACACCCATCACTAATAAAGAAAATGTTACAGGCTAATCCTACGGAGGCATTTTCTCAATCGGGGTTCCCTCTTCTAAGATGACCCTAGCTTGACAAAGACAAACAAAACCCACATAGATCAGGTGGAGCAACTGAAGAAGACGCCCTGGCATCAGCCTCCGCTCCCACCTCCATCCCTCACAGTGCTCCTCAAGCCTGGCCGGGCTTTGTCAAGCTAGTTGTTCTTATGTGGGAACCCTAACAAGAACAACAGATTAGAATAAAAGCCTGTTGTGATGAGAGGTGACTTTGAGTTCAAATCTGACAATTCTAAAGCCACTCACTGGGCTCAGGGGCTTCGGGATAAGCTGTTTACCTCCCCCGAGCATTGGTCTCTGCATCTTATGGCAGGCATGTGATACTGGGGACACACACAAGTACCATGAAGCCACACCTATGCTGTGAGCTCACCATGGGAGTAGCCTGGGGGGGGCACCAAGGAGCATTGGGGGGTGGAGATAGCCAATATTTCAAGGCAAGCCGAACCATGCTAGAGAGATAGCCAAAGACAGAGTCATCAGTGTCCTGACACAGGTAATGGCAGGAGACATTTTCCACCTTCTGAATGCCATGGAATGTACATGGCAGAAGGGAGTGAAGAGTATCAGGCATTCTACTAACCTCTATCTCTATCTTCTCTCTGTTGAGGGCTTTAGGGAAGTCACTCATTCCTTTAGCACCCATTGCCTTCATCCAGAAAATGGGGTGAGTGTGGCCCACAGTTACTACCAATGAGTAATGAGAAGTTGGAAAACGCCAGTAGGAGGTGCTTGGTGGCTGGGACTCCCTTCCTGTCTTAGGTGGGGTTAGGTTCTTAGGCAGCCCAGCCCCTCATGGGGAAGAGCTACACGGACATTGATTAGTTTTGCATCCTGGAAGAGACATATTGTCTGCTGAACCTTGAAGAAGAGAAACAGTGAACAGGCCCCGCCCAGAGTGGAGACCAGTCAAGATGGGGAGGGACACCCCAGCACTAGCTTCTGTTAGCTCGTGTCAAATGCCCTCCATGTTTACCTGAAATTCAGTACATTCTCAAGCCCCAGGAAAACAGTAACAGTCTGAAGACGAGAGTGACCCGTCTCTGCCGCCTCAGCAGTTTGGAGGCTGAGGCAGGAGGATGGAGGATTCTAGGTTACCCTGAACCACATAGCAAGACCCTGTCTAAAAATAAAAAATAAAATAAAATAAAAATAACAGTAAGAAGCCTTGATGGCTCCCTTCCACCCAAGTTATGGGTTTCTTGTTACCTTGCCATAGAAGTTTGCCCAAGTTACAGACCCTCTGTGCTATTTTGCACCTGATTTTTCCCTCCTTCGGAGGTGACTTCATATGTGCCCCTCAGCAGCTGCCTGATCCATTTCACAACCACAAATTTCCCCTACTGCGTTCCTGGCAGCCTTCATCCTTCCTCTATAGGACAGTGGCCAGGGCTAGCCATGGGGAACCACTGGAAGGTTTGCCTCAGTTGGGATCTGGACCCAGACACCTACCTCACAACCTCTTCAACACTCAGCCTTGGCCAGTGCTCCTGGCCCCTCCCAGAAAATTGTGGGTCGATGGCGACAGCCACTGGACAGTGGGAGAGGACCCTACAGCCTGAACACCTTGAGCTTGGGTCCCCCCTCTCTGAAGAAACTTCCCATCAACCCCTTCTTGGGGGGGCATCTAATACTTCCACTGGCCTCCCTGTGCAGCTCAGCCAAAATTCCATGGCCCCCAAAGAAATTGGGAAAAAGGTTTCCCCCAGTGGAAAAAAAAAAATGGACCTAAGGACAATTAAGCAAGTGACCCTGGCATGATTTCTTACCCAGAGATGATCTGAGTAGATCCGGATACCAGGGGCACAGAGCTGAGCCCTGGGGCCACGGTGACTCTCCCCAAGTTCCTGGGAACCCCAAGAAGTGTGGCATGGAGGTGGGCAGAGCCAAACCTGGGCCTTCAGCCCCGTCGAGGGCCCCTCTTCTTGTAGCCCCTTCCCTTATTCTGGCTACAGGGGATGCCCGGCGAGGCCTGGCCGCAGCCTGCTCCCCGGGGCCCAGGTGCCCCTCCCTTTTTCTTCCTGATGGTTCCAGCGCTATTCTACCCCATGTCAGGCCGTGGGAAGAATGCCGTGTCCTCTGAACGGGGGCCAAGAGTGACAGGTGGTGGCAACCCACACTCCATGGCCCCTGGTGTCAAAGATCCTCCTCTTAGTCTCCACCTCCACTGCCCACGCCCCTGCCTCCGCCTCTGCCCACCGGGCCCAATCCCTTACAACCACCCCAGGATTGCGCCTGAGCAGCCGCTGCAGACTGCCGGCCACCAGGTTGCCCCTCTCTGTCCAGGTACATCTCTCTTCTCAGTTGCCTGGTACTGGCCTTCTCTCTACAAAGCTGGAAAAGAGGGAGGCATCTGACAGCCTGATACACTTCACTCCTCTTTCTGCAGCTAGAAAGACTTGAGTTAGACAAGCAGAAGCACACGCCTACCTACCTCATGGCTACAGAAAACGGAGCAGTTGAGCTGGGAATCCAGAGCCTGTCAGCAGGTGCCAAGCCGGGGCAGGAGACGGAGGGAGGAGCTTCAGAAGGGATGTTTTTGAAGCCAGGGTTGGGCAGGTTCCTCGCAGGGAAGTCTGTGCCCAAGGTTTTTTTGCATGGTGCATGAGGGATTTGGGAACGGGGATAATCTGTGGGTGGAGTTGGACTGGGTCCAGCGCCCGCATGAAGCCCTTGCTGGAGGGACGGGGGAGATGGGAAGCCTCCATCAGTGGCCCTTGGGGATTCACTTCGGGGCTAGTATGCAAGGAGTGGTGTGAGGGACAGCAAAGCCCATGCAGAGGGGCAGAAGCTGGCACACAGCCCCCAAGTTCCTGACAAAGTTGTTACCAAGCAGCTCCAGAGGCTTGTGGGACAGGCATTGACAGGTTGTTCCTGGGTAGTGACCCAGTGCGGGTGTCTGTCTGGCCTGGCAGGGAACAAAAGAAGGGGATATTGATTGGTGTCTCCCTCCTTTGCAGAACAGACACCTAAAGGTGCTGCAGGTGATGGATCTTCAGCAGCAGAGAAAGACCCCGGCCCCCCAGCCACAGAGAAAGACCCCGCCCCCCCAGCCACAGAGAAAGACCCCGCCCCCCCAGCCACAGAGAAAGGCCCTAGCCCCCCAGCCACAGAGAAAGACCTGGGCCCCCCTAACACCAAGAAAGACCTGGGCCCCCCAGCCACAGAGAAAGGCCCCAGCCCCCCAGCCACAGAGAAAGACCTGGGCCCCCCTAACACCAAGAAAGACCTGGGCCCCCCTAACACCAAGAAAGACCTGGGCCCCCCTAACACCAAGAAAGACCTGGGCCCCCCAGCCACAGAGAAAGGCCCCAGCCCCCCATCCACGGAGAAAGACCCCAGCCCCCTAGTCACAGAGAAAGACCTGGGCCCCCCTAACACCGGGAAAGACCCTGGTACTCCAGATCCAAAGAAAGGTCCTGATCCACCTTCCCTGAAGAAAGATGCCAAAGCCTCTGGCCCAGAGAAAAAAGATGACCCAGCTCCAGCTCCAGCCAGCAGCCAAGGCCCTTCGGGAGATGGGGAGAGGAGTGGGGGGCCTGCTGAAGGCAGTGTGGGGCCTCCTGCAGCCTTGCCCCAGCCCACTGTCACAGCTGAGGCTAGCATCCAGAATCAGGGTGCCAAGCAAGCACCCTCGGGCAACCAGGGACCCGGAGAGCCCAAGGCAGGCAAGAAGGCAGCAGAGTGTCGAGAAGCAGGAAGAAGAGGCTCACCTGCCTTCCTCCACAGCCCTAGCTGCCCTGCCATCATCTCATGGTGAATGCCCCTGTTTGGGGAGGGAGAGGGCAGGTAGCTCCCTTTTCCAGGCTTAATCTTGGCTTGAATACTGGGTACTACCACAGCTAGCGCTGCAAAGACAGTTCTGTTCCAGGCCCCCCTTCTATCATCCTGTCCCCGAAGAAACCAGGAAATTACCTTCATCCAGAGAACGGAATGTCAGACAGGAGATGTCACCAAAGGCCACCCAGGCTACATGTTGTTTTTCTCTAGTCCCCAGCTTGTTTCACGAGTGGCGAGCTGGAGGGAGTAGCCCTTCTTAATTTAATACGAAAAGGCGACTAACAGTTCATTCATAAGCTGATGCAATCAGTTCTGCACTCCGTGAACTGTAGCCACAATAGGACACTTCTCGCACCAGTCTGATAGTAACACAATAATGGCACTTACACGCAACAGTTTTTTTATGAATCAGGAGCCTTAGAGCTTCCTGTCGGCCGGTAGGATTAGCCACATCATGGCAGTCAGATTCTGTCAATGTGTTGTGAGTTGGCCTTTGAAGGGGATGTAGATGTATTTGGGGCATGGGAGTGTGTGTGGGGCACACAAGGTTGTCTTAGTTCTAAATGGCAAGTGAGGTTTGGAAGCCTCTAACCTGTGTGAGGTGTCTCACTTTTTTTAGCTCCGAGAAGACACCGGCTGGGAAGCCCTTAAGCGAGACAACGGAACTCATCTTTACAGGGGTATCTGTGACCCCCGACTCCCGAGATCCTGGGTCAGCCAAGGCAGAAGGCGGGGCCAACACCCTGGAAGAGAACCAGAAAGCAGAGGTGGAGAAAGCCCCAGGCCAGGCTGGCCAGGCTAAGGTGCAAGGGGACACCTCCCAGAGGATTGAGTTCCAGGCTGTTCCCTCAGAGAGAGCGGAGGTGGAGCAGGGGCTCTGTCCCACTGCCAGGGAGGAAGACTGCTTCCAAATTCTGGGTAGGTAGTGGCAGGCTGGGCCTGGAGTGTGCTGGGGATGGGGGAGGGAAGGGATGGGATAGTCCCAAGTATCTTTCCTTATGCGGGGGGCCTGGACTACCCTGATCCAGGCCCCCCTGAGGCTCCCTGGTTCAAATATCACAGGACACCAGGTAGTGTTTCTTTCTGATAGAGATGGAAAAGGGAAACTAAATGTCCAAAGGTGAAGACTGGCTCAAATATCTACTTTTGGTTTTCTTTTACTTTGGCTCACATGGAATTAAAAAAAGAAAATTACACAGATGAGCGGAGCAACACAAACTTGCTGGGAAGTGGATTTGGGGTTCTGTCTGAGGAAAGGTTCCAGTCCCAGGTGCTGGGAAATGAAATGGTGGAGGGCAGGGTGTCAGAGCCTTAGTGGTTTCATGAACTGCACAGGTGTTTGTGTGGGGGGCCAGTAGCCGGGGAAGCTGGGGCAGCACTCCACAGGTACTCGGTGAGAAAGCCCTGGATGGCTGGAGAGTCAACTTGAGCAGCAGGAAGAGGGAGGGGGTCCCAGCAGGGGGTGCCATCGGGCTGGGGGGGCGGTGGAGTGACATAGGGCCATGAGAGCCCAGAGTGTCCTGATACCCCCTTCTCCAGACTGAGGTGCCCTGGGAGACCGGCCAGTCTGCCTGGCTCACGGCAGAGTGCCACCCAGACAGGGTGGGAGGACCTGGCGGCTGGGCAGTGGCCAGGGGCCCTGCCTCCTGCCCCCGCGGCGACAGAGACCTCCGCCCCGCCCAGAGATCACATCCTTGGCATGACAGGACCTGAAACACCTCCAAGGGCTGTTTGATTTATCACCAGAGTGGCTTCCCTGCCGACTCTGACTATTTTTAAAGGTTTCCATTCCGATGAGTCAGCCTGCTGGGCTTCGAAGCTGGATGTCCCCATGATGTCCACTAGGTGGCAGCATGTCACCACCGAATTGCTTCGTCCCTAGGCGCCCCACCCTGGTGTAATCTTTACCCACACCATCACCAAGGCACAGCAGTCCCACTGTCCGGGATTCCATTTCACAGCTGCTGAGGGGCTTGTTTGGGTGTTTGGGCTTTTTTTTTTTTTTTAATGGAAACAGCCCTCCCTCCCCCTTAGAGCTTGTATCTGAGTCCAATCAGCTAGCTGCCTCGTGGTTCTGCAGAGACCCTGAATTCCCCCTGATGGAGACAGATTTTTGGATGTACAAAGGACATTGTGGGTGTACACGGCAGAACTAGAATTGGAAACCCAGCCCCGTTCTGACCAGGTTCCCCGTCCCCCCAGGCATCACTTGGTAAATTCAACTTTCTGAGGGGAAGTGGGGGCAGATCAGGAGGCAGGAGGCAGTGGTGTCAAAGACATTCTCCAGAAGTCCTTCCCCAACCCTGGCTCTAACAGCTCAACTCTGTCTCCTTAGATGATTGCCCGCCACCCCCGGCCCCCTTCCCACACAGGATCGTGGAGCTGAGAACCGGAAATGTCAACAGTGAATTCAGCATGAACTCAAAGGAGGCACTGGGAGGGTGAGACAGGGACCCAAGCCTGAAACCATGCATGGGCGAGTATCCGGCTCCGGTGGCCCAGACACACCACTAGGACATGGCCCACAGATGCCCTTGCTTCCATCGCATCCTGAGGTGTAGGGACTGTGGCCTCTTTCCCGGATGTGCCGTTGGCCATCCCATAGGAAATGCACGGTCTGTTCCAACACGCGCCATGCTTGTCAGTCATCATCTTGGTAGAAGTTCCTCCACTTCAGGAGGAGTTAGGGCTGGGGGGCGGCGGTGAATGCTCCCATCTCTCCCAGCCAGAGTCACCATCAAGCCTGGGCCAAGAGGAGAATGGGGCACAGGTCCTTGCTGACCCTTGGGTCTTGGAAGTACCCTCACTCCACCCTTTTCTCTTTCCAGTGGTAAGTTTGGAGCCGTGTGCACCTGCACGGAGAAAGCCACAGGACTCAAGCTGGCAGCCAAGGTCATCAAGAAACAGACTCCCAAGGACAAGGTAATGGGAGAATGCTGGTCCTACCGCAGGGAGATGTTCTCAGAGTGGCCACCTCTTATCTACAGCTACCCACAGTGCTAGGCTGGGGCCCTGATGTGAAAAGCTTGTGGCATTAGAGATGGCCACAGCCTTTATGGGGTCCCAGCCATAGACAGCACACTTCTCAGGGGCTCTCCCTTCTGGGCCCTCTGTGATGCTCAGCACGCCTGGGGAGCATGGGTGTTGGTTTAGGCCCTGGGACAGCACTGGGGATCCCAAAGTGCAACACAGGTGGCCCCTGTCCCCAGGAAGCCTGTGTCAAAGAAAGAAAGCTCAGTGGAGAGTTTCACATCTCACTCCAATGTGGTCTGCACTTACAGCTCTAAGCAGGTCTGGTCCCAGAAGCAAGCAGCTATGTGCAGGTTTCCATGGATTGAGGGCCAGTGGGTGATGTGAGGTCTGCCTGGCAATAGGTACCAACAGAGCAGTGTCTCCAGGGAGCTGTGGGGAAGGGAGGCTATGAGGAGCAACAAGGGAGGCTCCTGCCTCAGTCCTGGCTCGAAGACGCTTCCTGGACCAGCTTCTACAGAATGAAGGTTTTGCAGGCAGAGGGTTTCAGTGGCAGGCCAGGGGAGACTTTCAGGCTGTGGAAATGAGACTCAAGTAGAGCAATTTCCTGGCATTCTGGGTTTGCTCTAACATCACAGAGATGGAAGAAGGGAGGAGGGGCCCAAGAGCCAGAGATCGCAGGAGCTGAGGTTACCGGGTGTTGTAGGCAAAGGTAGCCACATGTGTGAAAGACTGGGTCCCACCAAGACCATAGTAGCAGAACTATAGTGCTACAGAGCGGACAAGTTTTCTGTGTGGCTCTATGGTGCTCCAGTGTATGGGTCTTTTATTTATATATTTATTTATTTGAGATGGGGGGCTCAAACATCCCAGAGTGACCTTGAACTCCCTTTGGAGAAGAGGCTGGCCCTGAACTCCTGGTCTCCCTGCTTCTACCTTCTGAGTGCTGGGATTGCAAGCGTTTGCCACTACGTGGATCTGAGGATTGAACCCAGGACCCTATACATGCTAGGCAGGCACTCTCCAGACTGAGCCACACCCCCAGCCTCAGATCTATGCTTTTGACTGATCTTCACTGGCCTCTATCACAGGATCTGGTTCAGCACGAATGCTCAGTGTCCATGCGCCGTGTGAAAAAATTGGAGCCAGCTGTTGGTTAATTGATCATGGAACACTTTTTTTTCCTCTGCCTTCCACTGTACCAGGTGCCAGAGAAATGTCACAGGACTGAAAAAGCCCCCCACCTCATGGGACCAGCACATCAGAGAATAGGGACAGATAGATGACTAAAAGCTGGAACGAAATGACGAGCATGACACCAGGTGTTGAGAGGTGCAGAAAGGAAAAGAGAACCAGGATGGTGCTGGGCAGTTTGATCAGAGGGACCATGCCGGACGCGGGCCTCCCTGGATGAAGGGGGGCGGGGCGAAGGGAAAAGAGGTGAAGCTGGACAGTGTTGCACCTGTGCCTAGAGTGCATGGAGAGGCCTGAGACTAGCACCAGCCAGTTTCATCCCTACCACAGCCTGTGTCAGCCTCGCAGTGTGACCATTGGCTTGAAAGTGACAGCCTTTTAGAGTAGAAAGAGGGGATGCGGGATGGCTGAGTTTCTAATGTAGTTTAAGGCAGAACTGTGCCAAAGGTCTTAATGATGGGCTATCATCAGTGGGCAATCAGAGACCATAGCTTCTAGCTCTTTGTCCGCAGTGTTTAGGTGAAGCTTTTTTTTTTTTTTGTTCCTGATGGCTGCTAGCATGTCAATCACGGAGAAGGGTTGGTACCAAGGACTTAGCACATAGTGAATCTGGGGCTTTCTTAGATCCCTAAGGGAAATGGCAAAGATGGCCTCTGGATCGATTAGAGCCCGGAGACGAAAGCAGTGTTCACAGGCAGTGCTATGTATTTGAAATCAATCCCATTTTAGGGGTGGTGGGTGGGTGGGGGGTTGAACAGGACCTTACTGTGTGATCCAGGCTGGTCTTGAACTCTCTGGACCCTCCTGCCTCTGCCTCCTGAATTCTGGGACTACAAGTATGTGCCACCCCCACCACACATGGCTTTGGGAACTGATTACATCTGGACACAGCCTAGTTATGGATTTGATGCAGGGGCTCAGTCACGGTGAGGTTACAGGGAGAGAGTGGTGGAGGCAAGCAGACCAGAAAGGAGGAGGTTGGAGGTAGGGGCGTCGGTGCCCAGGGGCTCCCCTTGACTTTCCTGCTTCCCAGGAAATGGTGATGTTGGAGATCGAGGTCATGAACCAGCTGAACCACCGCAATCTGATCCAGCTATACTCGGCCATGGAAACCTCCCATGAGATCATCCTGTTCATGGAGTAGTGAGTGCCCACAGTGGGGGCCGGGGCTGGGCGGCAGGGCCAGCTGCCCAGGGCCAGTCTGCAGAGGGGTCTGTGCACACAGCATCGAGGGCGGAGAGCTCTTTGAGAGGATCGTGGATGAGGACTACCATCTGACCGAGGTGGACACCATGGTGTTCGTCAGGCAGATCTGTGATGGGATCCTCTTCATGCACAAGATGAGAGTCCTGCACCTGGACCTCAAGGTAGAGGTCTGCTTCCTGGGCCGGCACTGGCCACATGGTGTCGCTGTTGTCCCCACTCATATCTCCAGCTCCTCCTATCCCTCCTTCTCCATCCCTCTTTCGGTTTATTCAAGGCGACCCTGAGTGCTAGGTTCAGAGAGGCAGAGGTGGGGTGGGAGGAGCAAGCCTTAGTCGCAAAGCCCATGAGCTCACTGTCTGAACAGTAGCTACCTCCGTGTTGGCTTGTGGCGGGTACTGCCGGTGTATACTCCTTACTCGGAACGAGAGCCTGGTGTTGGGGGCCCACTTCATAGCAGCCCCATGTTCTGGGAGTCCTCTGTGGAACTTACTGAGAAACCTGATACCAGTGTCACAATGCATAGGAGGCAGATGCTAACGGAGTTCCTTGCACATAGCTGGACAGGTTCTACACAGTACACTCACTCCCATCAGCACCAGTGGCTGCCAGGAGCATAGAGACACCCGCCTAGGGCATGGAATGGGGAGGAGAGACACAAATTACCAGGTCTCTCCTGTCCCTGTGGCTGATGCTAGTGAGAACTGAGATGGAAAGTTAACGAGCTCTCTCAGTACAGGGGTGGTACCTGTGTTCATTCCCTTAACTCACAGTTGCTTAGTACCACCCTCTGGGCCTCCTTAGGCTGAGAGAATGCAGGCCTGATGGATCGCTGACTTTCACCTAAGGATCTAGTTCCCTGTGTGGGGCCTCAGAAGGGACCAGGGTGGAACTTGTGGGAAAGGAGGGTAAGCTGGGTTAGAGGCCAACCTGGGCCATCCCTGTCTCCCCAGCCAGAGAACATCCTGTGTGTGAATACCACTGGCCACTTGGTGAAGATAATTGACTTTGGCCTGGCACGGAGGTACCAGCTGGGTGGGTGGGAGGGTGGGGCCTGGAGGTGGGGTGGCCAAGGGGCTGGATGTTTCTGGTGGCAGTTGGGGACCTGAGCCCTCACTCTCTCTCCCAGGTATAATCCTAATGAGAAGCTGAAGGTGAATTTTGGGACTCCGGAGTTCCTGTCACCTGAGGTGGTCAATTATGACCAGATCTCCGACAAGACTGACATGTGGAGCCTCGGGGTGATCACATACATGCTGTGAGCCCTGGGGGAAGGGCTGGCTGAAGTCAGCAAGGGCACAGGGCGGGGGCAGGAGAGAACAAGACTGATTTTGGGGTTATGGTCCCTCAGCCAGGCTGGTTTATTTTGGGGGGATGCTAGGGAGAACCAGAAGACTTTGTACCCATTTTATACTTGGAAAAACTAAGGTCCCTTAAAAACACAGCATCCCACCCTGGCACAGACTCTGGATAGCAGATTCCCCCATGCCCTGGGGTGGGGACAGAGGGACAGTGGACATCTTTTTGCGTGTGCTCACTGTATGTTTCACACTCACTATTCCTCATCTTCACTGCAACCCTGGGAAGCTGGGGTGATTGCGCCCATTTTACAGATGAGAAGAGTGAGGCTCAGAGAGGGGAAGTGACTTGCCCAAAGTCACCCAGCCAGATTCAAACCCAGGTCTGTCCCAATCTGGAAGCGCGGGGTCTTTCCAGCACATGCTGGCTCCTAGGCTCTTTCCCACCCCGCTGCCTCACTCTCTTGCCCCCCTCTCCTTCCCTCTAGGCTGAGCGGCCTCTCCCCCTTCCTGGGAGATGATGACACAGAGACCCTAAACAATGTCCTGTCTGCCAACTGGTACTTCGATGAGGAGACCTTTGAGGCTGTGTCAGACGAGGCCAAAGATTTCGTTTCCCATCTCATCACGAAAGACCAGAGGTAAGGCTTACCCCTGCTGGGAACCTTGTACCTTCAAGGGCAGAGTGCATGTCTGGGCCACGTGGGCTGGCGTGGGCCTGCCCTCACCACACTGCCCCTCTGCGCAGTGCCCGAATGAGCGCGGAGCAATGCCTCGCCCATCCCTGGCTTAACAACCTGGCCGAGAAAGCCAAACGCTGTAACCGCCGTCTGAAGTCCCAGATCCTGCTTAAGAAATACCTCATGAAGAGACGCTGGAAGGTACCAGAGCTGGGGTAGAAGGAGGCAGAGGGCTGAGGGGTCCAGCCCTACCAGATATGCTTTGGCAGGCTCTGTTGACTGGCCTGGCCTTGTCTGGAAAACATGGAATTTTCGCTGGGCCCTGGGCTAGCTCCCATTCTGAACCTGAGCTATTCAGCTACCCTGCCCAGAAGAGCATCTCTGAGCTCTCTCCTTCATTTCCCAAATATTTATTGAACAGCTATTACTTCCAAATGCTCCTGAACGCTGCACTGCTGAGGTGGGGACCGGAGGCAGGAATCTGAACTTGACCCAATGAAAGTAGAGCGTTCTTAGGAGGAGAGGGTTGGGAGGGCCCAGTGAGGAGGAACAGGTGAATCAAGGCCTCAAGGAGACAGAGAAGGGGGAGGGATCCAGGCAGAGGTGCAGCCAGTGTGAAGCCCCATGGCAGACCCTGGATGGCAGGTGTGAACAATAGGCAGCAGGCTGTGTGACTGGAGGGGGGGGGGAGTCAGGCTACAGAGCAGGGGTAACTCCGTGACCCTTTGATACTGTTCCTCACGTTGTGGTGACCCCCAACCATAAACTTATTTTTTGTTGCTACTTCATAACTGTAATCTTGCTACTGTTATGAATTATAATGTAAACATCTGTGTTTTCTGATGGCCTTAGGTGACCCTCAGAGGGATCGAGACTCTCAGGTTGAGAACCAGTGCTTTTAGAGGGACTCAGGGATTAGTGGGGAGGGGGTGGTGACGGGGGTGGGGTGAGGGGTGGGGAGATCTCTTTTTACCTGGACAAATAATGCCATGGCACTTTTTATAGCTGGCTTGGGCACTGTGTCTCCCCGGCCCTCCCTTAATGAGGGGAGAATCTTTTAAAAGGCTTTAAAGTTTTTTTATTTAACATTTATTTACTTATTGTGTATATAGGGAGGGTATAGAGGACACACTCATGCGGTGGCCTTTGTGTGGCGGTCAGAGGATAACTCTGGGGGTCAATTCTCTCCTTCTACCATGTGGCTCCAGGGAACTGAACTCAAGCTGGCTGCAAGCACCTTTCTTTATCTGCTAAGCCCTCTCTCTGGCCCGAAGGGGGGGCTCTTAGGGATACTCCCACGGCTCTCCTTTGCTGCAGTGATGACTGGGGTTCCTCTCTTGTCCCCCAGAAAAACTTCATTGCTGTCAGCGCGGCCAATCGCTTCAAGAAGATTAGTAGCTCCGGGGCACTGATGGCTCTGGGGGTCTGAGCCCAGAGCAGCTAAGCCTGGACGCAGCTGCACAGTGGTCAAGGCTGAAGCCACACAGCTCAGAAGGCCAGAGAGAGCCGGCCAGATCTCTAGAGGAGGCTGGTCAGAGCAAAGTCGCACCAGGCCAGGAGGCTTGGGGCTCGCCGGGCCCTTATTTGATGCTGCTTCTCCTATGTGAACATGGAGTGTGGCCTGGGATCCATCTTGCTACCGCCTCTTCAGACAGGGCTGTGGCCCATCAGCCCCACCCAGACTCCAAGGACGTCCAGGCCGTTCCCTATTCTCTCCCTAGCTTCCCCCCTTTGAACTGCTGCCCTGGAGCCTCTGCTTTGCCCCACCTGGGGCACCCTTGCCTGGAGTGGGATGGCTGGGGGTCCAGCAGGTGGGCTGCTGTGGTGGTGGGTGGGAAGCTTCTAGTAGGGTAAGAATGCAGCCCAGCTGCTAGTGGAGACAGAACAGGCTTTGTGTGAGAGGACCTCCATGCCCTGCCTCACACTCCCAACGGATCATCTGACCTCCTGGCCCCCACCCACTGTTTCGGTGACCACCAACACACAGGAACTCTGTGAGAGAAAACCAGCCCAGGCCTGGAGTGGTGGTGGTGGTGGTGGGGAGTGGAGAGAGGCCTGGGAGACATGGGACTACCCCCAAGTTCACCTGAGGACCGAGTCTTCCCAGCCTGGCTACTCTGTGCCCCTCCCAGGGGCATTTACAACCCCAGATGACAGGAAGAACTGGCCCATGAGGAGTATGAAGCCACCAGGAAGTCCCCAACCTGCTCCCAGCTTGTGCCTTGTAAATAAATACACAGGTTGGAGGCAGCCTCCTTCCCTCTGCACGTGTACATAACCCGTGTGAGATCACTGCATTAATCGTGCACCTACTATGTGCCAGACACTGAGTTCACACATCTACACATAGTGTGGTGTTCGCAGATGCAGGCTCAGGAGCTTGACTTCCAAATGTGTGCAGTGTTCAACTGACTGCCTTGCTATGTGTCACTTTCCTCCCCATGAGAGGGTTGTTACAAGAGCTGAAGTACAGCCGGGCAGTGGTGGCACACGCCTTTGATCCCAGCACTCTGGAGGCAGAGGCAGGCGGATCTCTGTGAGTTCGAGACCAGCCTGGTCTACAGAGCTAGTTCCAGGACAGCCTTTAAAGCTACAGAGAAACCCTGTCTTTAAAAAAAAAAAAAAAAAAAGAGTTGAGGCACAGAATGACCTGTGCTAGACTGTAGTCATGGGCACCATGGGGATTAGATCGCTGAACTTTGGAGTAGGATGGTGAAGTAGACATGATTTGTATTTCACAGAGGGAAACTGAGTCAGGTGGTGAGACACAGGTAAGGGCTACCTCACAGAGAGGAGAGAATGACGGTATGTTGGTGAGATGGAGACAAGATGTTGGCCCAGGGAGGAAATGGGAGCGGTCCTTCTCCACACTCAATAGGAATGGAAACTGAGACTCAGAGAGAGCAAGGACGGAACTTGAAGTCTGCTCAATAAGTCTGGGCCTGGGGCTTGAAACAAACTTTTGCCATGAGCTCAACATTGATCAAAGAAGGAACAGAAGACAGGTCATCCAGGAAAGGCTACTGGGTCCCACGGCCTGTGATGTCTTTACCCTGCTACAGTAAGCCCTGCTTTCTGCTCACACAGGCCTCACCCAGGCCACCCGTACAGGCAGGGGCAGCTGCTGGAGGGGCAGCCAGGAAAGCACAGCAGAGCTTTGACTGAGAGGTGACTAAGCTCCAGGTGAGGTGGCTTAGTGTGAGGTGGCTGGCCAGAGTGGCAGAGGCACCAAGGGACAAGTGTGGAGCACCAGGGTCCCAAACCTGCAGTGACCATCGTGGAAGATGGAGAAACTGACCAGGCGATGGTTTTGTTCTGGCTGCTGTTCTGCTACCCGATCCCGAGGTTTGGGCCTCGGGTGTGACCACAGACTGAGACCTCAGTGATGAGCATACCTTTTCTGCCTCCGTGACTACAGAGTCAGGCCCCTCGCCCCTGACTGCTCTGTTTGTGCGGCAGCAGGTACCACCTGGGGTGTGAGGTCTGGGACTTGGGGGGTGGCCAGAATCTAAGCCTTAGCACTGGGAATTGAAAGTTTCAAAAACCTGGTTTGGGCCGTGAATGGCAGCTGTACTAATACTGTACTAATAGCAGGGCCCATAGAACCACATACTGCTACCTCTGCCCATTGGCACCCTGCTGCCTCCCCCAGCCCCGACCTCCGCCAGCTGATCTTGTGTTTCCATTGAGTGGTCCTTCTTGCCTCACTGGCCCCACCCTGGCTGAGCATTGGGCCACACAGAATGATGATGAGATGATGAGGGAATGAGTCACCCCTGAGAGGGGAGGAAAAGGAATGATGTTTAGCCTGAGCAGAGATCCAAGGACTGAATCTGGCCAGGGAAACCGAGGCTACAACAAGGAAGGCCCCTCACCAAAGACTTCAACAGTTGGAACTAGAACCTTGACTCCACGCAAAGCTTATTTCCTCTTTTTGTTTGTCTGTTTTTTTTTTTTTGTTTTTTTTTGAGGCATTGTTTTGTTTTGTTTTGTCTTGTCTTGTTTTTTTGAGGCAGGAGCTTTCTCTGTAGTTCTGGCTGTCCTCGAACTTGATATATAGACCAGGCTGGCTTTGAACTCATAGAGATGCTCCTGCCGCTGCCTCCTGAGTGCTGGAATTAAAGGTGTGTGTCACTACGTCTGGCTCTGTTCCTTCTCTATAACTTGATCTTTCTTCTGCAGCTCCTAGGGCCGTCATGACAGTTGAGAGAGAGGATGGGGCTCATCTATACGTTACTGGTGAGGGAACAGGTTCAGAGAGGAAAGATGACTTGCCCAAGACCACACTTGTGCAAGAAGCCCTCCGAGAACCACAGGCAGGCATGATCACTCTCCGGCCCCAAATCTACCCTGCTACCTTCATTCTCCCAGAGACATGTCTGCATGAATAATCAGACACCTTTGGTCTCCACCTAGAGGTGGAGAACATAGACTTGCCAGCACCGATGGGAGAAGGGGTTTCATAAGGACCCCTCACCCACCCAAGACAGTCTCACTATGTAGTCCCTGTCTATCCTGAACTCACCGTATAGACCAGGTTGGCTTTGAACTCAGAGATCCTCCTGGCTCTGCCTCCTAGGTGCTGAGACTAAAGGCATGCACCATTATGCCCAGCTTCATGGGACTTTCTGGTCTCTCAAAACCTTGGCCAATTGCAGAGCTGTGTCTGCCCCCCTGGAGACTAGGACCCAAGCCCCATTGCTCTCAATAGGGTTCTGTCCCTGGCTGCCACTGGGAGAAAGGAGTCAGTACCCTAGAGCTGCACTTATCAAGGCAGGAGTCCACAGCTGACTGAGGACTCCCGAGCTGGAGCCAGACCTGAGTGTAGTTCATGGCCAGGGCTCTGGGCCTGGGGCCCTGACATCCACACCATGCCAGACTATGAGCTTCCCAGACTCCAAGAAGAGCATATCCTGCTCCTCACAGTCCAGGGGCATGGCTGATCCTGCACAGAATTTGTCTCAGTGACAGCTCAGTGGCTGTCCCCTCTGTTACCGATGTGTGCCTTCCTTTGCCTGGGCCTGGGCCTAGATACTCCTTGGACCAAGAAGAGTTAAGAGCTTCCAGTGGACCCTCCTCCTAGCTGGGCCCAGCCCAGAGAGTGTTCCTCCAAGGCCATTTCCTGCCTCTGGGCCTGGGCCAGGCCCACAGTGACCACCCCCTGGGTCTGGAAGCCACCGAGGCCACATCTGGTTTGGATTACACCAGCACTGGTGACGTTGCCTTTTCCTGTCTGAGTCTAGTGGCCTTGAATTCCTCTGGCCACCTTGAACCCAACCAGGCAGTGGTGGGAAAAGATGCAGCCCTTGCTTGGCCGCCCAGAGGGAGCAAGGCCGCCAGGGTTGTTCTGCGAGGTGGGGAGGCTGGTTCCTGCCTTTGAGGCAGCTCTGCACCTGCTTTCCCCCCTCTCCTCGAGAGGAAGCACCTCCTGAAACCCAGCATTGTATTGAGAAAATCCATGTGTTGACCATCTAGCATTTCACAGCTAAGAGAACCGAGGTTTGGGGTTTTCCAGTGAACTTAGGACATGAGTGGGCAGCATGGGTGATGTTTCCTTGGGCCAGTCTCCAGGGAGGGGCCACAGCCTCTGGGACCCTAGAGGAAAGGTGGGGGGCTGGAAGAAAACTCAGGCAAGCATGGGGCCAGAAAGGGGTCACCAAGCTGAAGCCTCATCTCTCTAGGAGTAACATTCCAGGCGAAGGCACAGGAAGAACAGGGTTTTCTAGGGTAGTGGGAGGACAGCATAGAAAGCCTGGAAGCAAGCTCACCTGACCACATTCCAGAAAGGGTTTGCCTATGTTGAAGGCAAGAATTTTGGGGGAAATAGTCAGGCTGACCCAGGGTAGTAGGGAGCCACAGAAGAGCTCTGCGCAGAGGGAGAACATGGTAATATCCATGTTTCAGACTGACACCTGCTGTCAGGCAGGTGAGTGAATGGGAGAGACTGAAGGCAGGGAGAGCAGAGGAGGCTGCATCCAGTGGCATTAGCAGAGACAACAGTGAATCTAATGACCTCATACCTCAAGGTACACAGGGCAGTGATAGACATGGAATCCCAGGTTCGAGTCTACCTACTTGTTCTCTGTGAGCCTCAGGCTCCTGTCTGTAAAGTGGGCTATTGACTGCTTCCCAAGGTCAGTGCCAAAGTCACATGAGATGCCCGGGCAGAGCCTAGTGCAGGCTCCTGAGCCTGCATTTGGCTATTTCAGGAGCCCCTGCTGTGTTCCACATATGGTTGCAGTTGCAGGGGACATCAGCAAACGGACAAAGTCCCTGGTCTTCAGGGAGCTTCTAGTGGGCAAAACACACTGACCTTAACCCACACTGGCTGGGGGGAAAAGGGGACAGTCAGTGGTCAGGGAGTATTCATCTGAGGATGCTTGATGGAAGCTGGCAGAGAGGCGAGAGCCCTGTGAATAGTGGTGGAGGGCTGTGCAGACAGAAGAAAGGGTGGGCATGAAAGCTACTTTGAGTCAGTGAAGGGAGAGGTCTCAGATGCTTGCCCTTACCCAGAAGCCCTCGGGTGCCTTCAAGTGAGTTGGGGAGTCCCTGGGCTCTTTAAGACAGCACACTAGGAATGACGAATGGGTAGCTAAAGGCACCATCTACTTGGTAAACATTCACCACATCCCTACTGTGTTTTAGTCACTGAGGAAGAGAACAGGAGATGTGAACAGGGGCAGGCACAGCCCCCACGCTGTGTTCTAAGGGGAAGATACATAAGTGCAGACCCTACAGCTGTGAATGCCTCGCAGTGGGGCTTCGTGAAGGCAGCATGATGCTGTAGGAGAGGGAATGTGCAGCATCGTTAGCCGTACTCAGGCTTTGGGGGCTCCTTTGGCGTATGCTGGCCAAAATGGCAGGAACTGTATGTAGGAAGCCTCCCTGCAAGGAGGGGACACTCTGGAGGGCAGGCAGCAAGACAGAAGCTGAAAGCAGAGCTGACTGCCATCGAGGAGGACGCACCAGCTGCTCTCCCTGTACCTAAGAGACAGACACTGGGCAACCTTGGGACTGGCCCAGAGGACAGTGACCTGGGGGCATCCCTGGCCTTCCTGGCTAATGAGTGACTAATGGAGCCTCTGGTCTGCTTTTAGCCATGGAGCCACTTCCTTCTGCCCACCAACTGTCTCCCTGAGTCACCCACCCAGTTACTAACAGGGTGGGGACAGGCACCTCAGAGGAGCCTCCAGGAGCCTCTCTCTCTCTCTCTCTCTCTCTCTCTCTCTCTGTGTGTGTGTGTGTGTGTAGGGGCTGAGAGTCGGGGGACTTCCAGTG